AGAGCATCCAATGGAAAAAAGACAGTCTCTTTGGCAAATGGTACTGGGAGACCTGGACAGCAACATGCAGAAGAATGAAACTAGACCACCTTCTTACACCATACACAAATATAAACTCAAAATGGATGAAAGAGCTAAATGTCAGACAGGAAACCATCAAAACCCTAGAGGAGAAAGCTGGCAACAACCTCTTTGACCTCAACCACAGCAATTGCTTACTCAACACATCTCCAAAGGCAAGGGAATTAAAAGCAAAAATGAACTATAGGGACCTCATCAAGATAAAAAGCTTCTGCACTGCAAAGGAAATAATCAACAGAACTGAAAGGCAAGTGACAGAATGGGAGAAGATATTTGCAAATGACATATCGGATTAAAAGGCTAGTATCCAGGGGCGCCTGGGTGGCGCAGTCGGTTAAGCGTCCGACTTCAGCCAGGTCACGATCTCGCGGTCCGGGAGTTCGAGCCCCGCGTCAGGCTCTGGGCTGATGGCTTGGAGCCTGGAGCCTGTTTCCGATTCTGTGTCTCCCTCTCTCTCTGCCCCTCCCCCATTCATGCTCTGTCTCTCTCTGTCCCAAAAATAAATAAACGTTAAAAAAAATTAAAAAGAAAAAAAAAAAAAGGCTAGTATCCAAAATCTATAAAGAACTTACCAAACTCAACACCCGAAAAACAAATAATCCAGTGAAGAAATGGGCAGAAGACATGAATAGACACTTTTTCAAAGAAAACATCCAGATGGCCAACAGACACATGAAAAGATGCTCAATGTCACTCCTCATCAAGGAAATACAAATCAAAGCCACACTGAGATACCACCTCACACTGGTCAGAGTGGTTAAAATGAACAAATCAGGAAACTACAGATGTTGGAGAGGATGTGGAGAAATGGAAACCTTGCACTGTTGGTGGGAATGCAAACTAGTGCAGCCGCTCTGGAAAACAGTGTGGAGATTCCTCAAAAAATTAAAAATAGAGCTACTCTATGACCCAGCAATAGCAATACTAGGAATTTACCCAAGGGATACAGGAGTGCTGATACATAGGGGCACATGTACCCCAATGTTTATAGCAGCGCTTTCAGCAATAGCCAAATTATGGTAAGAGGCTAAATGTCCATCAGCTGATGAATGGATAAAGAAGATGTGGTTTATGTATTAAATGTAATACTACTTGGCAATGAGAAAGAATGAAATCATGCCATTTGCAGCAATGTGGATGGAATTGGAAGGTATGCTGAATGAAATAAGTTAGTCAGAGAAGGACAGATAACATATGTTTTCATTCATATGTAGATCTTGAGAACTTGAACAGAAGACTATGGGAGAAGGGAAGAGGGAAAAAAAGATATAAACAGAGACAGAAGGGAGGCAAACCACAAAGGACTACTAAATACAGAGAACAAACTAAGGATGGGTGGGGGCTTGGGGAGAGGGAAAAATGGGTGATGGGCATTGAGGAGGGCACTTGTTGGGATGAGCACTGGGTATATGTAAGCCAATTTGACAAATTATATTCATAAAAATAAATATAAATAAATATAAAAAAGAAAAAACAAAATATACATTGCTTATAAAAGAAACACTTCTAGGGGCGCCTGGGTGGCGCAATCGGTTAAGCGTCCGACTTCAGCCAGGTCACGATCTCGCGGTCTGTGAGTTCGAGCCCCGCGTCGGGCTCTGGGCTGATGGCTCGGAGCCTGGAGCCTGTTTCCGATTCTGTGTCTCCCTCTCTCTCTGCCCCTCCCCCGTTCATGCTCTGTCTCTCTCTGTCCCAAAAATAAATAAAAAACATTGAAAAAAAATTAAAAAAAAATAAATAAAATAAAAGAAACACTTCTATATTAGGACACAGAAATAATAAAAGAGGATTTAAAAAAAGATATCATGAAAACACTAACAAAAAGTAAGCAGATAAATAATGCCAGATGAAGTACCCTTAAAGGCAAAAATCTGTAATAAAGGTAGAGAGGGATATTTCATAATAATTTTACGAGGAAGATAAAAACAATTATAAAATTAGATCTATAAAGTAAGTCTGAAAGTAAAAGGAGAAATCTTAGCAAAACTAAAAGGAAAAATACACAAATCCACAACTCTATAGAAATTTTTAACACACATCTCCTATTAAATGATAGTATAATCAAACAGAAAATATTGGCATTGTTTTACATTTTTGAAAATCCTTTGAAAGCTCTATGTAACAAAAAACAGCTAGCTTCTTAAATCTACTTCTGCACTCAATTTGATGTATTATCACACATCAAGTACCTCTGGAAAACTCTACTGTCCACTCATGAAAGGAGAGTAAAAAATAGTCATCTGAATAGAATTTAGGAATTCCCAGGGCTCCTTGGACCACACCTTGAAAACTACTACTTTAGATATGGGTTTTTATGCTACTATAAATCGTATTATTTTCTAAAATTTCACTTTCTAATTATTTTCTATGTGGATATGGAAATATAGTTCTTTTATGCATATTGACTTTCTATTCTGTGACCTTGCTAAATTTGCTTAATAATTATAATACTTTATTTGTAGATAATTTTGTATTTTCTACATATACGAGTAGTATGAAAAATGATGATTTTCCTTCCTTATTTCCAAAACTGTTTACCTTTTATTTTTCTTCCTTTATTGCAAAGTTGGGACCTCTAGCTCCAAATTCTGAGGTTCTGGAAATGTTCTATTTCTTTATCTGGGGGACATGCACATGTACCTTCATTTTGTGGTAGTTCACCAAGCAGTAAACTTTGTACAGAGTTGCTGATTAAATTTTTTCCACTGGCCAGAGAAAACTCAGTGTTGAAAAAAAAAAAAAAATCAGCATATGAAAAAAGGCATATTGCATTCAATTTTCCTTTGAGATTTTCCTAGCCAATCTACCTCTGGAGATGCATGTTAAAGGGTTAAATTTTGGATAATAAAATAATCATTGCTTCCAGAGAAAGCATTAAGCATGCTCATGAATTATTTACTTTTATAATTTCAGCTTACTTTGCCTGCACATGTGTGCCAGAAAAAACACCCATTTAGGCTCATGCCAACTAGATTTCTTTTTTAATTCCCGCTTGAGAATGCTGACTACTTCAACAGGATTTGGATCAATTTACTTTGCCAAGTAATTTGAGTGGTGGTGCTGACTAGTCCATTAACCTGGTTGAGCAAGGTTAAAGATAGAGGAGAGTTAAGGTAACAGATTGCCTCTTGCTGGGTCCCAGGGCTCTTTCATTATTCTCTTTTCCCAGTCCCCAGAGTTGCCTCTGATGCCATAGGAGGCATATCTGGATCTTCCGTTACAATGGAGGTTAGCAGGTTTTACATAGTTCATCACTACCTAATTGAAAAAAAAAAATCACAATGATATCATCAGAATAGTAAGAATACATTAAAAAATTGGCATTATGGGGATTGGCAGATATGCCGCTTATTATCATTTGGGATTGGGAATACTTCTAAACATACTCATTCAAAATTTATCCAAGACACTCTTATGTTTGTGTGGCCCAAATTACCTGCAGTAATATAAATAGTGATTTTATTTTATTTTGCCTGTCTGGATCTCGCAAGAGGGGGCGTGTCTTCTCATGTTACTTTTAACCAGTTCTCCCCGTTTTCTTTGTCTCAATTCCTCAGAGAAATTAAGATGAAAGAAGGTTTAATTTTCTCTCTGAAAAGAACAGTATTTGTAATTTTTAAATTAAAAAAAATTTTTTTTACATTTGTTTATTTTTGAGAGACAGAGAGACAGAGAGTGAGCAGGGGTGGGGCAGAGAGAGAGGGAGACACAGAATCCGAGGCAGTCTCTGGGCTCTGAGCAAGCTATTAGCACAGAGCCCCACGCGGGGCTCGAACCCACTAACCATGAGATCATGACCTGGGCTGACATCAGATGCTCAACCACTGAGCCACCCACATGGCCCAGTATTTGTAACTTTTAAAGTGCATATCTTACACAGTACACCTGGTTTTTCCCTCTGACTTAAAGTCCATTTTCAAGAAAATGCATAGGTCTGCTAAGGGTGAATAAGGAAGCTCTCTATTCTTCTAAAAAAAAATTTTTTTTTTTCAACGTTTATTTATTTTTGGGACAGAGAGAGACAGAGCATGAATGGGGGAGGGGCAGAGAGAGAGCGAGACACAGAATCGGAAACAGGCTCCAGGCTCCGAGCCATCAGCCCAGAGCCTGACGCGGGGCTCGAACTCCCGGACCGCGAGATCGTGACCTGGCTGAAGTCGGACGCTTAACCGACTGCGCCACCCAGGCGCCCCGGAAGCTCTCTATTCTTTATCCATAGTCAATACTGGCAACATCAGAACAAATCCTGGCAGGGGTGATAAAGGTAAAGAGGAGATACTGAATCCTGGAAAATGGAATCTCCTCTCCCCTTTCCACACTCCGTCAGGAAACATTACCCCTCTTTTCCAGCAGCTGACGACAACCAGGCGATGACTGGCAGGAGGGACATAAGGCGACTCCTAACGAATCCACCCCACCCAAGGGCCAGGCTGCTTTCCTCTCTGTTGACAATCCTCAAATCCTCTTCGCAAATTGTAAAGTGTCATTAAAATCTGGAACACCTGACTCCCTCTCTACAAGTCCAACTGACACCCGGGATTAAGGTCAGATCCATCATGGGACCTCTTTGTGTAAAGGTAAAACGACTTTTGAACTGAAATAATGGATTTAAGGCACCGAGGCAGAACACAGCTCCATCCAAACCCCCAGTGACATATTTACAGAACCAGGTCTGGCTGGAAACAAGGTGAAAGAAACAGTAACTCTAACTGCAGCCAGCCAAATGAACACGCTCATTGGCTGAATGCTAGCCAAGCTCTTACCATTAAAAATACCATAGCATTGCTGCCAAAAGGGGTGTTAGGACAAATTGCCAGAGGTAACCGTTACATAAGCCAGAGCTCACCCTGCCAATTAGCCACACACCATTGCTACATCTCTTCTGGCCATAATTATTCTGATAGGGCACTTGTAAGTTCTTCAGCTGTTTAAGGACTCAGCCAGGAGAAATCAGTTCTTCTGCAGGACAGGAGACACGGCCTGGAGGCCAAACTAGCTGGTGGGGTACTTAGGACTGGTGAAACTGCCCTATTGGTTGGTAACATTTTTATCAATAAAGGAAGAGAATCTCAGAGAACTCAGACAAAAGAGCCCCCCCCTTTTTTTTAATCGCTGCAGTGTTTCAGAGGAGCAAGGATAGAAGAAGCAAAGAAATGTGCCCTGGCTTGCAAAACGGAAGGAAGGAACGAAAGCCCTGTCGAATTACCTCATTTTCTTTATTAAAAGATGCTTACCACTCTGATTAGCTTTGAGCTCAGTTGCAGTTCCTCGAGGATTATTCTCCACAAGCAAAAAGGAGACAAGCACAAAGGACAGTAATCCAGGTAGACCAACAACAAAAAAAGCCTCTTCTTTATCCTGAAGCCTTGGAAAATGTGGGTGTATGTGTGGAATTACCCAGGTAAGGACTCCTATGCTCATCTGTCACTGCTGTATTAGGCTGCAATGTGCAGCCCTCGCACCGCCTTAGTGCGACCTGTCAACAGGTCCTTCCCGAGTCCCAGCCATAGCCTTCCTCTGACAAGTCTATTTTTTTCCCCGAGGATTATCCCTTTTCCCACCCTACCCACAATATACTCACAATGTCATGTCCACAATCCATTCAACTGCCACCTAGCTAAGGTCTTGTTCTAATCAGCAAATTCAATTTTATTATTTACCTGTATGACGTCCTTGAGGACTACCCCATTACCTTTACTTTAAGTCTGAGCTTCACGCAGTGAACCCCACCTACTTTATCAGTCTCTTCTCTACTGATCCCCCACAAGCTCTACAGTCCAGATAGAGGAAAATTTACAACTGAGGTTCTCAACATGAGCAGCACATTCTGATACCCAGTGGAGCTTCTAAAAGTCCCAATGCCCGGAATGAATCCTGTACCAATTCAAGTGGAATTTCTAAGGATGAAACGCCAGCATGAGTATCTTTTAAAATTTGTCTTGTGGTTACAAGTTTGAGAGCCAGTGCACCATCACCACTGTTATGGAATGAGTGCTTGTATTTGTCTCCCCCAAATTCATGTATTTAAATCCTAACCCCCATAGGAGGTGGGGCCTATGGGAGGTGACTAGGTCATGAGGGCAGAGCCCTCATGGGTGGGATTAATGTGCTATAAAAGAGACCCCAGAGAGCTCTCTAGCTCTCTTCCCACCACATTAGGTCACAGTGAGAAGTCAGCAGTCTGCAGCCCAGAATGGAGTTCTCACCAGAACCCGCCCACCATGGCACCTTGAGCTCAGACTTCCAGCCTCCAGAACTGTGAGGAATAAACTTCTGTTGCTTATAAGCCACCCCATTTATGGGCTTTTGTTATAACAGCCTGAACTAAAACAACCACCACATATGCTTTCACACTTGTTTTGTCCTAGGTTGGAAATGTGTTATTTTACATCTGTATGGTTTTTTTTTTTTCCTGGTGTCTTGTGGGACATAGGTAAAATGTCTTCTCCTGCAACCCTTCGGTAACCTCCCTTGGTTTTCCCATGGCAACTCTTGCGTGCCTGCCTCCCGATACTTCATTTCTCTCATTTCGTCACTAACTGGATGAGAGATCCTTCCGATGGGAATAGTCTTTCATTTGTCTTTGTACCCTCAGTGTCTGTTGAAGAAGGAGAACGGATGCACACCAGTACTAAGCTTGGACTCCAAGCTCTTCTTCCAACTTCCAGACAGAAAACAATCTTCTGCCTGCAAAAGATTTCACAGGCTTCCTAATTTTAGGATACAATCAAGTGAATGAAGAAGAAAGACATCTGGAAGATAAGGGCATCACGACTACTTCAGGACATCAGTAATGCTAGGATTTTGTTACCCTCTGTTGTTGTTTGTGGCTGGGTGAGAGTCTCTTGATGGCTTCCATATTGAAAGATTTAAAAATGGAATTCTGAAGTATTCAATCAAGAACATGAAGGCTTGTAAACAGTTTGATTTCATGGCCCTTACTCAAATGGATTCGCTTTTTAATGCATTTTGGCAAGCCGTGCTCCACAGTGTAGGAGGCAGGAAGGACATTTACATCAGTGCAAACTGGGGCGTTGGTTTCCATGAAGAGAAAACTCAGAACACTTCCAAACAAAAAAGGGCTCCTGGACACAATGCAAGAAGGACGCTGTGAGAAGAGGTCCAGATTTAGCAATAAGAATACAAACATGAAAGCAGTTCTGTGCTGGAAAGACATTTAAAAATCCTGAGATCTGCAGGCCAGAGCCTGCCACTGGAATTGGCAAAAGAAGAAGAAACAACTGACTTTCATTTTGGCTTTTGCCACAAGTCCAAGTGCTTTGTGATTCTTGCCCAAAGTCTCTAAATGAGATGCTTGGTGTGTATTCCAAAGTTCTTGCCTTCTGACGCTAGTGTGGAAGACGCAGCACACTCTTTTTCCTTTCTTCCCAGTGGAAAGAGTTTTAGGACATAAGCGGCCTTGACCAACATGTTGAAAATAAAATTATTTTCCAACATAGGTGGTGACCTGATCATTCCCGCTTAGGAAAACCACAGGGACATATAAAGGCAAAACAACACATAAGTAAAGAGCAATATTTTTCCTTTCTTTTCCCTTTGTCCTTTTTGAGAGTCTCTTAAGAGTTCTCCTGAGGGAATTTCTATACTTTATATGATATTGAGCTTTTTATGTTAAGGAGGCTTTATTTCCAGGAGTAAATGTAGCAAGGCACAAGAACTGTCTTTTAAAGAACTTATATTCTAGTGCAGACAGCTTTTCAGTAATCACCTCCATCTTAAACCAGGTATGGAAGCAACTGAGAGATACAGGGGGAGGACATAATGAACATTCTGCACAGAATCGCCATCCTGTGAAATTCTTTTTTTCTTATGTTTTTAAAATTATTTTATTTATTTGAGAGAGACAGAGACAAATGAGTAGGGGAGGGGTGAAGAGAGAAGAAGAGAGAGAATCCCAAGCAGGTTCTGTGCTGTCAGCGCAAAGCCCAATGAGGGGGCCCGGACCCATGAAGCCGTGAGATCATGACCTGAGTCGAAACCAAGAATCAGATGCTTAACCATCTGAGCCCCCCAGGCACTCCTTCATCCTGCAGAATTCTTAATCATCAAGCTTATTCATTTTCTATGCTTCTTTGAACACAATGACATTAAACAGATAAAACTGCCATTTCTATAGGTCAAAACCTGTCAGATACCAACAATTACATTTAACTCACTCCAATACTGAGCTAATTTCAATGGGGCGCCTGAGATGAATAGGCCCCTTTGAATTTCATCTTTACATTTCAACCCCCTTCTTATTTTTAATGTTTCTTTATTTTTGAGAGAGAGAGAGAGAAAGAGGGGGGGGGGGTAGGACAGAGAGAAAGGAAGACACAGAATCTGAAGCAGGCTCCAGGGCAAGCTGTCAGCACAGAGTCCGACATAGGGCTCGAACTCACGAGCAGTGACATCATGGCCTGAGCTGAAGTTGGACACTTAACCCACTGAGCCACCTAGGCACCCCTCCAACCCCTTCTTAACATTTAAAAAAATATATATAGTTAGTTAACATTTACAGAGTGCTTCTTATGTATTTAGCACTGTGTTAAGGGACTTGTGCAGGAAGCATTATTTAATGCTTACGACAATTCTATTAGGTAGGTATGATTAGCCTCAATTTACAGAAAAAGAAACTGAGGCTTGTAAAAGTTAAGTAAATTGTCCAATCGTACATAACTTGTAAGTGGCAGAGAGTTGGGACTCAAAATTGTGTTCTGACTGACACCTGGGTCCTGCCTCAAACCCTATGCTGAGGCAGGTTGGACCATTTCCAAGGGCCTATTTAGTGGAGGTATTAAACGTTATAGTACATATAAGAAAATGAAAGAAATTACTATAATTCTCAGGATGAGTGCTGTGTGCGTTGGTTAGGAGAAACACTTCGATAGGCTGCGTGGTTTGGGAGAAGAGTGGTGATAAGAGGTGACAGTCCCTAAGAGCTGTGTGGGCTCACAGGGGAGCAGCCACTCTGTCACTCGCACGGTGTGACTGTGCCCAGACAAGATTTGTTTGTCATCGTGGCTACTGGCTCACATGATCTGACGTGAGTGCAGCGTCACCAGGTTATTGTTCTAAATTCTGAAGTTTTCATAAGTTTCTTCAAATGGATCTCTCAATTCCTGGTCTCACTAAAGGCTTTTGAATCGATATTAAACCTTGGGGTGTGACAAATGGCTTTGTCAATTCCTTGCTCAGTGTGGATACATACAGTTCCCTAATTTGTCCTTCTATACTGCAGACTCTCCGGCTAGTCAGTCTAGTTAAACAGATACTTTGTTTTTATGGTTTTTTTTTTAATTTTTATTAAAAAATTTTTTTTAATGTTTATTTATTTTTGGCACAGAGAGACAGAGTGCGAGCAGGGGAGGGGCCAAGAGAGAGGGAGACACAGAATCCTAAGCAGGCTCCTGGCTCTGAGCTGTCAGCACAGAGTCGAATGTGGGGCTCGGACCCACAAACCATGAGATCATGACCTGAGCCAAAGTTGGCCATTTAACCTACTGAGCCACCCAGGTGCCTTTAGTCAAACAGATACTTTATGCAAATCTTTCAGTGGAAATTTTTAAAAAAGGCACATTTTGTAAGGGTGCACATTTGGTGATCAAATAACTCAAAGCACATTGTGGCAAAAGACCCAAAAGCATTAAAAACATCCCCAAACATTTCTCAGCCAGCTTTCTTTTTCCACTGCTTGTAAGCCACTAACTCTGATTCTTAGTTGCGTGATGGCTTAAGCAACTTTCCAACCCAGAACTACCACTGTTCCATGGAGCACAAACATCCAGACCTTTAACAGGAAGTCGCACGCAAGAAAAGAAGCTTGTCCTTTAAAATCAACCATTATGGACAATCCTCAGAACCTTTGATCTTAATTAGCTGAATAAACTCCCAGGGCTTCATTGCCAGCTCGATTAATTTGCTTTAGTCACATTTTGCCTTGTTGGTATGCAGTTTGGATTAGAGTAACTTAAGATGACTGAGATATACAGATACTTTATCAGAGGAAAAGTAATACTATAAAATATAAACTCCATTTCCTGCGATCTATAACATGAAGTACCCATATGCTGTGCATGCATCAACTTCTGCATTTCATCTGATTTCTACAATCATATATTTAACAAATATAATAACCACACACAAGCACCAACCAATCAAAACAGACTTTGGAATAACTGGTCTCTCTCCTTACCCCTTTATACCACCTAAGTAGTGGTTTGGGTATTTAAGGATTGACTTAATGCTGAGTCAGAATGGTATATACCCTGTAAACAAGAGAACTTTAGAATTTTCTTTTCATCTATTATCAACTCCCAGGGATCTGATAGCTAACTTCAAAAAAATGAAAATGGACTGAAAGCCCAGACATCTGCACTCACCTCTTTCTTTTATTTTTGTCTTTGTTAAAATTCTGGATTTGCAAAGAAATCACTGTATAAGGTTGTGTGTATGGAACCATGTACACTCCATACGTTGCTTTAAGGGATTTACCATGGTAATTATTTCCATACTTTATTTTCACCTTCTGCATTGATTTTAGAGATTGATTCCCATGATTCCTCCAAAGAAATGAGTTAATGGGTCCTCAAGGGAATTAAAAAGCATTCAGACTGAACCACCTTGCTAGGTCATAAGCTAGGCCATAAACAACTTTTCTTCATAATTAGTCTTTGTTTAGAATGTGATGTTCTAGCTTAAGATATTTATATGACAGCCATTTGGACTATTTATTCCTCTGAATACAGTGAGGAAAACTGTGGGTTTCCTTTTTTTTTTTTATAGCAACTCCTACCCAGCCAACTCCTCCTCATTTTGTGATAGCATTTACATGGTAGGCAGCAGAGAATGTTCTAAGACTTCTCAGCCTGACTTGGGTAAGGAGGCCTTATCTTTATCTTTTACCTAAGTGTGAATCAAAGTGAAGCCAACTGATCTCTGGGGACAGGATAAACCAGTAACTTCCTCATTTCTTTCTCCTCCTCGGTCACATACATAGCCCAATTCAGGTAGGATGTACACATGCTAATTACTAGACCAGTGAAAATGATCCTTATCAACTCCAAAGGGAAGGTAGCACACTGGTGGACAATGCTCCTCAAATTTTCCCATCAAGTGCTCTCAGACAGAGGAGAATGAGCTGGTACTTTGGAAGTTCATGGATGTAAGATGCTACATGGGATGCTACAAGCTAGAGAGGTTTACAGTGTTCTATGTTTTATCATTAAAAATGTCATGTGATTTTTTTCCTACTACTCCAATTATATGTTTAGATACAAAAATATTTTATATTACTTACCATGGAATCAAATCACTTCTTAGAATCACATTCCAAAAAGATGCACCATGTTTTTCATATGGAATCATGTGTCTTTTGGCATACTAATCTGAGAATCTCAGATGCAGATGAAAGAGTTTTGAACCCAGGAAGTGAGGCCTGGATTCTAAGCTTGCCTCTTCCAGTAATATACTCTTTATTCTTCTTTTATTTAATATCTGTATTTCTCCATCTGTAATAAAGGAAAATATTTTCAAAACACACATTTCGACTTCAAAATTCTATAAAGCTTATATTTTTGTGTTATGATTTTAGACATATCATCTTTAGATAAATTAGGTAGTATTAAAAAACCTTCAAAACATTTGATGCTTCTAGACAAGAGAATGAAGCTGTCATGAAAAATGAAGCGAAGATTTCTTAGATCAGTACTGAGTTTTCTGAAGTCAGGGAGCCTGACTTTAAACTCAGAAACCAGTACCAGTGATGGGTGAACTTGTACTTCAAGACTTCTACTTTTCTCTGTCTTTTGCGTTTAAAGGTGGTCAGTAATTGAGAAAAGAATATTTAGCAATATTATGTACACATGTATTCTTTCATCTAGCAAAGCCTCTTCGAAGAATCTATCCCCTAGATATGCTGGGGGTTTAGCATACAGGCTTAGCATATCTGTAATAAAAAGACTAAAAATGATCCAAAACTTCATCATTGAGGCAGTGGTTGAATAAACAATAGAGTATGCCCATATATTGCAATGGATTGACCTCCATAATATATACAGTTTAAAAAAATATGGAGAAATAAATGAGCATAGTATATAGTTCGTGTAAGAAGGGGATGAATATGAATATACTGTATATGCATATTCATATTTTTTAAATGGAAAGATAAACCAAAAACCATTTTATTAAAAATACCATCTGTAGTGGGAGAGAGGAAGTAGGGTGGAGGAACAAAGATAGATATAGACTTCTTTGAATATACTTTGCTTTATAAATTTGACTTTGGAATTTTTGCATAATTAGAATACAAAATTAAATTGTAGAAAAGCAATGCCTGAAAGTCAAAAACAATATCGAACAAACTTAAGTATTCATCAAATTGATAGCATAACTGAATGGAAGGAATTAGTTCAATCAACTTTACAACAGAGAAAATTGGTCATGTGTTCCTAACGCGAT